AGTGGCAGCGAGGTTGGTTTTCTGAGTTTCATCCATACGGGGTCATCTGAAGGTGGCACAGTGGTTTCAGGAGATGTCTGTTTCCTGACTTTACATATGTCCTTGTATTTCTCTATGTGGGAAAGTGGGGCTTAATGGAAGAGTGGGCAGGGCAATCCACTACCTGCTAGCCAGCTGTCTGTCAAGCAGGTAGACTAAGAAATGCAATTCAAACAGGACAACCTCCTTGGTTTTCCCTTGGGTTTTACAAGGTAAGGGGATGAGGAGGGGTGGCAGAAGTGATGGCGAGTACATGTGTTTGCACTTGGGTGCGTGTGTGTGTGTGTGTGTGTGTGTGTGTGTGTGTGTGTGTGGTATCTACAGATATGGGTCTCTTCCCTTTTGAGGAAACACACCCATTCATTATAACATGCAGAGGAGATTTCCAATTCCAAAGCATTTCCCCCAAATCCACAATACGCTCTCTGTTTTCCAGGAAAAAACCACAGTAAATAGAATGGAAGGCATTTTCAATTTACATTTCATCCACCTGGGTATATTTTATGCCCCTTACTAGCAGGGTAATAACTTACACGAGGCCTTACCTTGTTAGTTTGTCTAATTAGTATAAAAAGCCTCGAAACGAATTTCCAGTTGGCATTATTACTACCTTCAAGTACCCCTTTGAGAGTGTTCTCTTACAACTCATGGAAATGGATTGTCTCCCCTCCCGCAATTAGTTACAAAACAACTGGCATGTGTAATCAGGGGCCAGTGTCCTTGAATACAAAACACGGAGGGGCTGCCTCTCCACGGCAGACCACCTCCTGGGCAACTGGTAAGCTGGGCAATGAAGAACAAGGTGTCCCTCCCTCAAAAAATTCTAACTTCAGCGGGAACCTGACGAGAAATGATTGTGCGGGTGAGAAACGGAGGGTCGCTCACAACAAAAGCTGCAGAATGCACAGACAACAGGCGCTGTATTTCTGGGAAGGGGGTGTGTGTGACGGGATGGTGTGGGGTGTTTTTTTTTGCCATTGATGGGGAGGGATGACCTGCGGGTGAATTGGGACAGAGACGTCTCTCAGGCGTGCATCGCATCAATTTGACCTGTGATTACAGATGAACTGTCATTGGAAATGTGTGTACGGGGTGACAGTCAAACTGTGGATCGATGATGTATGACCTTAGGGCCGTGTCTGTTCCGTTAGAGAGCTCTAGATCTATCGGGTCTTTCTTGCCCTACCCTTTGATTGGACCCAGAGCCTGGGGAGCCAGAGAGAGGGTTCCACTGGCCTCAACAGACTCAGAGTCATCGCTTCCACTTTTAAGTCGGCTGCCTTTAGTTGTCCTTTTAAGTTTGGGCACGGGAACGATTATTCTGCGTCGTTCTCACTAAGTTCTGACAGGCTGAAGAATTGCAGTATTTTGCTGGAGTAACTAATCTGCTGCATGTGGCAGGGAATATTAAGCAATTAAAATTTAAATAGTAAAAAAAAAAATCAAACAATATTCTGGAGGCATTTTGAGAGGTCCTCAGCCACATCGAAATCACTGTAACATAAAATGGTCTAGGAGGACCCTTCCTCTCAAACTGCACAGCACCGCAGAATCACGAGAGGAGGGGACAGAAATCCTGGAGGTGTGTGGGCAGCCAGCGGATGTGAGGTTGGAAGCTATCAATCCTGAGATTACACTCTCAGAACCACCATGTAGGAAAATAACACTGCCAGCTGCAAGGTCCTGATTCTAACCCCCAGCCGCTCTATGGAGAAAGGCTATCTGATCTGGTAGAGGCTTGAGAACCCAATGCCAGGTCAAGGGCAGTGGGAAATGTAGCACAATACCAGCCCCTGTTGCAATTGTGCCCCAGGTGGGGCAATGGCTAAGGCCCTGAGAGGCTAAGGTTTAGTTGGCCCAGAGGTTCCTTGGGAGAGGGCCCAGGGATCTGCTACCAAAAACGTAGCCTCTGACGAAGCTGTGGAGCACAGTTCTGCTCTGACACACACGGTCCCATGGGGAATGGACTCAGTGGGGCTGGGTTGGTACGACCGGTACTCTGAGGCAGAGATGACTTCCACCACGGGGAGGGACAGGAAAGGCATGCGGAGGTGGGGGTAGGGATGTTAGTCAGGGAGGTGGAGGGGG